TCCATACAGTAAAAAAAACCTACAAGACATTTGAAGAGGCTAGAAAATGTCACTAAAAACCAAGAGAATAAATATACAGATGGAACATACAATAGAGTCAGGCCCTGGATGATCCAGATATTGTAGTTAGCAGAAAAGAACTGTAGAATAATTGTGATTAATATGTTAAAGTAGAGGAAAAGATGGGCAAAGTAAGTTTCAAAGTGAAGAATTCTAACAGAGATTTGAATCTATAAAGAGAATCAAATTAATATTCTAGAACTGAAAAATTTCTATTTATAAAATTTAGAATACAGTGGATGAGCTTAAAAGCAGCATAGATACAGCAGAAGATAAGATTAGTGACTATGAGGACAGATCAATAGAATATTTTAAAACTGAAGCCAAGAGAGAAAAAAGAATGGCAAGAACCCCTGAAACCTGAAAGCATGAGACCATTGAGACACAGTGAGAAGGTCTGATTAGATCTGATTAAAGTCCTAGATAGACATGGAGGAGAGTTGGGAGCAGAGGACTATTTGCAGATAAAATTGATGGCCGAATCTTACTACACTGATGGACAGTGACTGCAATGGGGTATGGGTGGGGACTTGATAATATGGGTACATGTATTAACTACATTGTTTTTTCATGTGAAACCTTCATAAGAGTATATAACAATAATACCTTTATTTAAAAAAACATTAAAAAAATTGATGGCCGAGAATTCCCATAAACTGATGGAAGATACCATCCAGTAGATTGAACATCAGGTAACCCCCATGCAGGAAAAATAAAAAAAATAATTCATACCTAGCACATGTATTAAACTATAGGGAGCCAAAGACTGAGAGAACACCTTAAAAGCCACTAGATAAAAATCAACAGCTAATATTATATTAAATAGTACAATATTGAATGCTTTCTCCTTGAATTTGGGGGTAAAAATAAGATGCCACTATTTTCATTTATATTCAGAAATACAATAGAGGTCCCAGCTGCTGCAATAAGAGGAGAAAGAAAGTTTAAAGATTAGAAAGGAAGAAGTAAGGGTACAATTTGCAGATGACTGTGTATGTAGGAAATTCAACAAAATCAACAAACCATTAGAATTAATAAATGTAGGTTTCAGCTAAATTGTTGGATAAAGACAGTATACACCCCACCCCACCCCCCAAAAAAGCTCCACCAAAAACCTATTAACTAGCGGCATGAAATCAGGAAAGGAAAATTGTAAAAGGCCATTATTTATCATAGCATCAAAGTATTAGATACCCTGGAATAACTCTCAAGAGATAAATGAATGCTTTGTATGAAAAACATTGATGAAAGATATTCAAAAAGACCTAAATAAATGGAGCAACAATATGACATACATATATATCATATTGTTAAGATGTCTATAATTCAGTCCCACTCAGAATCTAAGCAGATAATTTTTTTGGTGGAAAATGATAATGGAAATGCAAAAGACTGTAATAACCCAGGCAATCTTGAAAAAGAAGTACTAAGTTGGAAGGTTTACTATAATTCATACTTTGTTATCAAGCTATAGTAATGAAGACACAGTAGTGTTGTCATAAAAACAAATAGACTGGAGCTACAGTGCCCAGTATGGCTGCTCCTCACCATGTGGCTATTAAGCACTAAAATAGGGCTGGTCTGAATTACAATGTGCTGTAAGTGCAGAGTACACGGTGGATTTTAAAGATTTAGTATGGAGAAAAAGGATATAAAATACTTCCTTAATTGATTACATAGTAAAGCAATAATATTTTGGATATATTGGTTTAAATAAACTATGATTAAATCAATTTCATATGTTTATTTTACTTTTTTAATGTGGCTGCAAGGAAATTTGCAGTTTTGTGGCCTAATGAGTGACTGTGGTGGCAGTAATGACCCCTCAAACAGGACACAGAAATCCATAAGACAAAAGATTGATGAGGTGGGCTATTGGAACTTGGGTTCATGGAAAGTTACATTTACAGATTGAAAAGGCAAACCATAGATTGGTAGGAAATGTTTGTAATCTACATATCTGACAGATGGCTTTTATTTAGAACTATATAAAGAACGCTTAAAAATGAAAAACAGAAGAGGGACAATTTTTAAAATAGGCAAATGACTTGAATAGGAGCTTTCACAAAGAGGATACCCACATGTCCAGTAAGCATATGGAAAGGTGCTTAGCATCCTCAGTTTATGCTACACCTCCACCAGAATGGCTAAAATTTTAAAGACTGGCAATATCAAGACAGCTAGGAATCCCATACATTGTGGGTAGGTGTAAAAATTGATATAGTCACTTTGGAAAAAATGTTGAAAATGCCCATTAAAACTAAACTTAACCTACCTCATAATATAGCAATTTTGCTCCTATGTATGTATCCAAGATAAATGAGTGTATTTATACACTAAAAGACATATGATTTATATTAACTTTCCTCAGTAGAATGGATAAATTTTATATAGTATTTATGCAACAAAATACTACACAGTAATACAGAAGAATGAACCACATACTGTATGATTTCATTTACATGAAATTTAATAATAGACAAAACTGTAATTGATGGTGGTAAAGTCTGATTGGTGGTTACTTGTGACCCAGTGGGACACAGGGGTCTTCCAGAATGTCGGAAATGTTGTATAACTTGATCTGGGCAGTAGTTAATACAAGTGTATATGCACGTATGTGAAAATTCATCAGGTGTACACTTGAGATCTCTGCACATTATATATTCATGCCTCAGTAACTTTTAAAACATTATGTTAGTATGTTCAGTAGACCCTTGGTGATGAAGACTGTAAATATAAATATAAAAGGCACTCAGTAAATAATGTGGAAGAAATGTAGGAAGGAAATGAAGTAGGAAGTTGGTTCATTAATCTAGTTTCCTTAACCTGCACCCGTTCCTTGCTCACTGCTGACTTGCTATTGTCAGAATCTTTTGGCTGCAAGGCTGGCGTAGTGATCTTCATTCCTCAGAGGAAGTCCCCCTAGCTTTGGCCCTCTGCTGTTAGCCGTCTGACAGGTTCAGATAGGTCTGAGTGTGTGGAGAAGGGAGAGACTTTTTAATCAGGTGACATAGATTAAGAATAATAACTGTCTCCAGTCTGTGGCCCCAGTGCGTTTGGTGTTTTATTTCCTCATGTATTTCCTTCTCTCTCTCTTTTCCTCTTCCTTATTATTTAGCATTCAACAAATACTTAGAGTTGACCCATGAGCAACACGGGTTTGAACTGTGTGAGTCCACTAACATGCGGATTTTTCCAATAAATATATTGGAAAAGTTTTTGGAGATTGACAACAATTTGAAAAAAACGTTTTCTCTTTTTTTATTGTAAGAATACAGTATATAATGCAAAAACCTTCAAAATATGTGTCAGTCAACAGTTTATGTTACTGGTAAGGCTTCAGGCCAACAGTAGGCCAATAGTTAAGTTGTTGTGGAGGCAGAAGTTGTATGTGGATTTCTGAGTCTGGCAGCGGGGAGGAGTTTGGTGCCCCAAACCCCAGTGTTCAAGGATCATTGATCACCGACTGTTGACTGGCCTTTTCAAGGCTTGTAGCTACATCAGTGAATAAAACAAATAAAGCCCCCTGCCCTCAGAAAGTTTATATTATAACAGGAGAAGCTAGGCAACAAACAAAAAGTGCCTCTTCCTCCATTCCTTACTTGTGCATAAAAGTCAAGCAGAACAAATATTTAAACAAAAACAGCAGCTTATTCTGTATTTCCACCCCTTTCGCCTCTTGTGTGGTCACTTGTCTTCTTGTTGAGCAGTGGGAAAAGATTCTTGTCATTTCAGATTAACTTCAGCATGGCACCTAGCACAATGCCATGTGTCTAGGGAACATAATAAATATTTGCAACCTTTGGGAGCATCTGTCAACGCCTGCTGATTTCCATACTTCCTTGCTACCATCTGCCCTCGGCATCTTTTTTTTTTTAACTATCACTTTTCTGGTAAAAGCTTGATTAAAGATTTTAGAAAATGTTTTCTAAAATGATATGGCTTTGGGACAGTTGTGCCCTAGAATGGGTAGGCTGAGGAGAGTGACATGCAGAGTAAGTCATCCTTTTAGGAAGTTCTGCTCAGGAACCCAAGTAGCTTTTGAGAAGGCTATTGTGATGAGTGTTCTCTTCATACACTGTTCTAAGTCTCTTATTATCATAAATACTACCTCTAGGAAGGTCACGTAGTGCATGTGAAGCCATTGAAATAAAACTGCTTCAGTAAAATCCAAGAAAAGAGCAGTAAACACCAGAATGTTCTGAATCAATGCACTGTTTTTTAAATTTGTCATTTTTAATGCAGGTTTTTTAAAAATCAAGTACTCTGTAGAAAGATATTTAATGGAGATTAGGAACCTAGAAACGGTGATGAGTATCTAGGGTAGGAAGGAAGAAATTAACTTGTTTTCAACAGGATTTGTAGTCAAAGGGTGATCAGCGAAAACAGAAAGCCATTTCCAGGTACAGAGGGGAAAGATAGTACAATTTAGCAGAGAGTAATTATACCTTGCATTTCAGAGTACTTACTGTCCAAAAAATGTTTTCACATATCATTTTATCCTCCCAGTAGCCCAGTGAGATACGTATTTTTAACTCCTTTTTAAATAAACTTGGGAACTAAGAGGTGTTAATTGACTTGCCCTGAGTAGCAAGTAGGTGTTAGAATTGGGATGTTTTGATTCTAAGACCCCCAATTCCTTTATATCACACCTTTCTGAAAATTTCATGGCAACATGTAAGCAGTTTTGGCAGAGAAGAGAAGTTTTAAGACCAATTTTATTGATGCTAAAGGCTGATCTGAAATAAAGAGTCTGAACAGCACAGTAACTTCCCAGAAGCTCATGCGGGAGGGTTGTGCCCAGAAGGAGGCTGTTTGCGATCTTTGCTGACTGTGGGCTGATACTTTTGGATGAAGCAGTACCTGTTGTAGTATTTCTTACAGGATTCTTGAATTCTGTGGTGCCAGTAGTTTTCATTCTCTTTAACCTCTTTCTCCAGGAGCCTCCAGAAGATGATGCTAACATCATCGAGAAGATCCTGGCATCCAAGACTGTCCAAGAGGTGAGTGGCTCATGTCTCTAGCACAGGCTATATCCTCTGTGAAGAGAGTTTTGGCTAGAGAACCTGGGATGGTCACTGTTGGCTGGAATGAGAGGTCAGCAAGAACACTAGCTGGCTGGCCAATACTTACTTTTACCCCCACAGGAGATTTTAGAACATAAAATTCCTAAATATTTGGGTATGGTCCAAACTGATTTTTCCCTCCACAGAGATCCTAGGAAAAGGTGTTTATCCCTTGGTTGTTGGGGTCCATTGGAAGTCATCAGAGGGATGAAAGAAGAAGAGGTGGAAAAGGAGTCCTAATGAAAACAATGTGGGAATTTTTCTTTAGATATCTCAGGGCTCCTTTAGAGAACATTCCTGGAGTGAAAGAGTATATTGGTACTGATGAGGGTGTAGTTTCATCTTTACTTCAAGTATTGATGAAAGTAGACTTCCTTAGTTCCAGAGGGAACACCCCTGGTGTTCCAGGGGGATGGTCGGGGGGGGACGCCAGAGGGACATGTTTTCATTTTCACAGCAGGCTCAGGTCCTGCCTGCTCTCAGAGCCCTGCGCCAGTTGGGGTTTATCAGCTGAAGGCTGCCCACCCTGAATGTTGGCTGGACACCAGTAGGGTCATTTCTTTACCTCACAGCTAGTTGTGTATTCAGCCATAAGGAAATCCACCCAATAGCTGTCAGAAAAAGACCTGGGAAAATGAAAATTTCCTTGAGAAACCTGTACTAAAACCAGGCAGAAATGTCAATTTACTGTTTTCTTTTGGTACATAGGGTGCTGTGTGGGGATCTAGGCTGTTAACTGCTTGCTGTTGGTTACAGGTTCACCCAGGAGAGCCCCCATTCGACTTGGAGCTATTCTACGTTAAGTATAGAAATTTGTACGTCTGTTTAATGTATCATTTGTTTTTTTATTTTATATGAGTAAAATTTACTTTCCCTGATCACATTGTCTGCTGTATTTTCCAAGAATGGCCCCTAAGGCATGACTGCAGGTCTCAATTGACTCAAGTTCACCTTAGGCAGTAATGTGCTCAACTTTGGCTGCACACGGAGTCCCTGGGAGAGCTTTTTAAAACCACTGAAGCCCTTGTTCCACTCAAGACCAGTTGTCTCAGGCTCTGGGAGTAGGTCCCAAGGATTGGTGTTTTTAAAAAACTCCCGATGCGATTCTCATTTGCATCCAGGGTAGAAAAACCACTGTCCTATAGCTTATACTTTTTTTCCCTCTCGCATTTTTCCTTCTTTCTCTGCTACCTGCCCACTTTCGCTGTCATGTACTAATGTTAGCCTGCCTGCACCTGCCCTCCCTCTGCTCTGAGCCGGTTTCTGTAGAAGCTGCAGAGTGGCTTGAAATTGCTGCATTGTTTTTGGTGGGTTTTTTTTTTTCTGCTTTTGCCCTTAAGGGTAAGGCTGTTCTAACCCCAAGCTCCACCACTTTCACAACAAACCACTCCACTGCTTCTGTGTTAGGTCACCCTATTTATTGAAACACTTTACAGCTCAATGATTTGGTAGTTATACTCTTGTCTCACAATTTATGTGTCTTTGGATAGTTCCTACTTACACTGTAAATGGGCCACAATGGAAGAGCTTGAAAAGGATCCTCGCATTGCACAGAAGATCAAGCGATTTAGGAATAAACAAGCCCAAATGAAGCACATTTTTACTGAGGTGAAGCAATATTTACTAACTAATTTGACCATTGCTTTTCTTGCAGTATTAGTTACTGGGTTTACGTCTCTTAAAGTTGAAGTCCTGTGCAGATCTGTTGCTAAGTGTGCGCTGATTTGCAGTAAAACTAGTCCAGATTTTAGCCAAAGGAAACAAATTATCTACTAAGGTGTGAAGATCAAACTTGATTACAAACTGACAGCTTGTAAAAACGTGTGTCTTGGTAAGAATACCTATAAATAGCGAGGGCAAGAGAAGTGTGCACATAATTCTTTCATTCCCTCTTCCTTCTCCTCCACAAAAGGGAAATTCCAAAAAAGACTTAAAATTTGAATGTAAAAAATAAAAACAAAGCTAAAAACATTGATAAATAAATAAATTTATATAGACTTGGGAATTTCTAAGTATGCCAATTATAGCATAAAGAAGAATTGATGGATTCGAACATTAAGCAAATCTGTAGTGTCTATACCTTAGAAAATATCTCCAAACAAATCTTAAAGTAAATGCATATATACATTATATGCACATACATATTTCTTAATTATATATTTGCACACATACATACATTAAGTAATACAGTAATACCAGTATGGGAATCTTCCTGTTTGTGTTTACACACAAGACGAATAGTTTTAATGATAAGAAATGCTTATCATTAGCCATATAAAAAATGTACTCAATTTCTCTAGTAGTTAAAAAAATGCAGATTAAAATGGGAATCATCCAGCTTTTACTTAACAATATTTAAAGGTTTTAAAAAGAAGTATTACCCATTGCTGGTGATGGTGTAGGGTAGAGACACGCATACATCACTGGGTAGAAACATAACCTAATATGACCTGTCAGAAGAGTGGTGTGGCAGCAGACGTGAAATGTCTCAAAATTTGCAAACCCTTTGCCCCAGCAATTCTAGTTTTATAATTTATTTTAAGAAAACCATCAAGTCTTTGTGCAAAGATTTAGCTATGATGAACAGTCATTTATATTGGTGAATAATTGAAGATATTAAATTAATAGACATTTGTTAAATTATGATACATCCCATAGAATGTAGAAAATCTATGAAGCTAGTAAAAATGATATTGGAGAACAATTATTAATGACACAGAAAGAAGCTTTGTGTTATAAACTATATTGTTAGTTGAAAATGTCAGGCTTTACAGTGTGGGACGGTTCCATTTTGGGGAGTGAACAAGAAAAGCATAATAGTAATGCAGAGAAAATGTTTTGAATATACATGACCGTGGTGGCATTTTCCCTGGTTGATGGGATTGTGGTGATTTTTCTCTTTTTTTTAATTTTTCAATTTTATTCAGATAACTTTTGAGGAAAAGAAGCAATAAAATTCTTAAAATGTAATCACAAGCACTAGACCTCAAGCATGCACTCAGATACCATCAAATTACAGTGAATTGCCACACATAGTTAACCGATTTATTATTCACATTGTGTTCCTATCCCTCAAGTAACAAAAAATTATTTTAGGAAAATGCCAGTAAGCATTCTTGTCCCAGTGTGGGGTCCTTCCTCTTTAGCCTTACCGTTTGGCCCTACCTCTCTGTGTTTTAAAGCCCGTTTCCATGGCATTGCTCTCTGATAGAGAACTGGGGAAAGGGAGGGGATGACTAGGATTGGAAAGACCATCTTGAGACCCCTTTGGACACTCTCCTCTGTTCTTGGAACATTTTATTCGCACTTCTATTTTAAAAAGTATTTGCCCTGTAGTGACTTGTTTACATGTCTGTTTCTTCCATTTTAAGCCCTGTGAGACAGACAGGAGCCATGACTTTCTCCTATTTCTATCCCTGGTGCTAGGCGCAGGGTTCAGGCCTCGGTAATTATTTGGCAGCCCCCAGGTAAGGGAGGAGGGCTGACTTCATGCCATCCTCCTGCTCCAGACCTCTCAGCACTTCCTATTTTCTTGGAATAGAGTCCAATTGCCTAATATGGCCCACAAAATCCAATGTCTCTGTTTTCTGATTTATTCCCAAGGGAGTGATTTTTCCTTGGTTAGAGCAGAGTGGAAGTGTATAGAACTGCATTGGAGTGTATAGAAACAATGTAACAGAAGTTCCTACTCTTGTGGGAAGAAAAGGCTTTTGAGAAGATTAGAGAACATCCTGAAATTGAGGAGTAATAGTGGGGAGTAGTTCCCAGTCTGCTGCCTGGGTCTTACCCTGTTCATTTAGTTATAACTTGGATAAATAGAACTCTTATGAGCTAATAACTTAGTTTTGAATAGAGCTTTGTGTCCATCATCTCCAGCTGTTTTATGAGGTAGTCGGGGCACATGTGAAAGAGGCTCAGCCTCATGTGGCTGCAAGTTCCCACACTCCACAGGGATGGAGTCCTTCTAACCAAAACCTGACTCCCGAAAACAGATCCAGCACTGGGAGAATAAATGACAAACTCAAAATTCAAGTTCACCTGGACAGGCTAGGAAGAACAAAATATAATGGCAATAGATAGAGGCCATGCTATACAGTTGTATTTTTTAAATCTTCACAACTTTGGAGTAGGAAAAATGGATAACAGTTCTAGGGAGAAAAGATACTGCCAATTTAATTCCAAGTTCACTGTTAAGCAAGAGTAGGGTGTGGCTTCTAAGTAGCACCAGTCCTAGACCGCACCGCTAGGTGGCCCGACTGTGCCTTGCTCTGTTCTCTCCTAAGAGTTGATGCTCATCTGGGCACCAGAATTCAACGAGGGCCATTACAGAACATGAGGGCAACTGCAGGAGGACTGTAGCTGTGATAAAGAGGCAGAGGCATAGCCAAGTGGTTGTCAGCAAAAGTGGAAACTGGAGTCCATGGTGCCAGGAGCCTGGGCTCCAGAGCCAAACTATCAAGGTGAAGTTCGGCTCCCACCCCCACTGGAAACCCCCCCCCCCCCACACACACACAGCTGGGTGGCCTTGGGCCACTTGCATAAGCTCCTTCAGACTCAGTATCCTCATCTGTATAAAGCAGAACTTGGGACTATCAACCTACAGAATACCCGTGAAGATTAAATGACAGAGTTCACTGAAGTGCTTAGCATGGTGCCTGCCCCTTAGTCCCTATTCCGGAAGTGGTAGCCCTTTGCATCTTTAAGGGGTCGGGGAATTTGGCAGCCAAAGAACTGAGCACCTGGGATTATTTAACCCAGATGGGGAGGAGATCGTTTCAAGAGCCAGCACCGGAGAGAATCAGCTTAGTCACTGGTACTGCAGAGGAAGCGGTTCACACCAGTGAGTCCAGTTACAGAAAGGCAACAAGGCTACAGTTCAGTAATAATAATGATAAAAATCATGCTGCTGCCACAAAGCAGACAGGGGCAGTGGGTCAGGTCTTAGAGGGCAGTAAATTCCTAAACACGCAGTAATGGGAGCTGAGTAATGGAACCCACCTGAGGGTGGGCTTGCCAAGGATGCTGTAAAAAGTATTACTGCATTTATTTGAAAATGAAACCATATAGCCCTTAAAATGCCTTCAAGCCAAAGGGGCAGTAAGAACATTCTAGCAGCCCTGCAGGAGGGCTTCTGGGTAAAAATCCTGGGTAACGTTCCAGTTCACACAGGTCTGTGACCTCAGTCACATTGCGTATTTAAACTCTCTGAGTCAGTTTCTTCACCTGTAAAATAATTCTTGCACCTATTCCATAAAGTAGTTTTGAGACTTAAATGAGAACACTTAGCGTAATTCCAGACATACCTTACATATTTCTAAATGTTGCTTACTATTGTTTTGCAAGTACACCTTCTTTGAAGCATCATGTACATAAGGGTAAACAGATCCTAAGGGTTCAACTCAGTGAAGTTTTACAAGATAAACACGCCTAAGTAACCACCACCTTGATGAGGAAATACAACGTTAGCAGGACCTCAGGAGCTCTGCTCATGCCACCTTCCAATTAGCTAATTGTTGCTGGTACTAAGAAAAAAAACTAATTCTGAGTTTCCAGGGGTCATCTTAAGAGCAAAAGGCAGTAAGAAAGGAGGATCCCTGTGCTGGTCACTGTCATGACCAAGAGGAAAGTCCTACCTGGTGTCATTGTTCCTTTGACCCTAGTCATGGAGAGCAGGATTTGGGGACAGTGAAGAAATGTCTGCAAAGGGACTTTTATTCTCAAGCTAATCCTTTGATTTTGTGTTTTCTGGTGGGGCCAAGAATAGAGGGTTCCTTAAAGATAAACACTTGGATGTTGGATCTGAGGGAAGGGAGCCACTTCTTTACTCTTCCCCTCTGCTTACATTAGCCTGATGAAGACTTGTTCAACCCAGACTATGTAGAAGTCGATCGCATCTTGGAGGTGGCCCACACCAAGGATGCAGAAACTGGAGAGGTGGGCATTTTGCTGTTTAGAGTCTCCTAGTGTTTTCTCTTCCTACCGTGTATTTTGCTTCTTTTGTTATCATATGGTCTTTTTTTTCATGGCATTCATGTGTTGTGTTGTAGGGTGGGTTTTCAGAGGCCGAGCAGAGTAGGATTGAGTCCTTTAATCCAGTGGAAAGGACGTAAATTTCTCCCATTTCCCACAGGAAGTGACGCATTACCTGGTGAAGTGGTGCTCACTGCCTTACGAAGAGAGCACGTGGGAGCTTGAGGAAGATGTGGATCCTGCAAAAGTAAAAGAATTTGAATCTCTCCAAGTTCTCCCTGAAATTAAGCACATGGTAATGTATCCATACCTCTGTTTGGCATCTGTTGTAACATGAAGCTTGAAATGTGGGCTTAGATTTTCTTTGTGTGTGGCTGTTGTATGGAGTCAGTAAGATAGAAGGTGTAAGAAATGCCTGGCATGGGAAAGAAGTTCAGTAAGTTGTCAGTATCTTCCTTGTTTCCTGTTACCTATTGCTCCATCAGTGATCTTTTTTCTTTGTTTTTATCCTTTACCTTTACTCAACTGAAATATCCTTAAGGGGTAGAACTGTCTAATCTACAGAGCCCTGGGACTTTACAGAGAAAAGATAGGTTTTCAATATAATTTTATTTAATCAGTTTGTTTTCCTGATTCTGGACTATTATCACCAAACTTCAGAAATGTCCCAGGGTACCTGACAGGTAGTTGTAGACTTAAGCAGGTGCAGGGAGAATAAAGCCAGTAAAGCTCACTGAAAGGGAGTCAGAGAGTTAATGAGATAAAACCAGAGAGCCAGAAAAGACTCACAGTTAATTAGTTGACGTCTCAAGGACGGGAGTTACTTGGAATGTCCAAACAGTCTGCAGATAAAGTATCAGAAGAAAAGCACAGTAACCATCAGCTCAGCCCATGTGTCCATTTTACCAGTTAGAACAGCCCTCCAAGGCCGAAGATAGTCAAGGACTTCTCTGCCCTGCCAAAAACCCCATGAAAAGAAGCCTCACAGTAAGCAGTCTGTCTTTGTCTACCTAGACTCTGGCCTGCTCCTTCCTGGGAGTGTATTCAGATAAAACTTTCACTCTGCTTCACTTCTGTGTTTCTGCCTTTCAGCTCTTTGTTGGCGGTGGGGACAAGAACCATAGAGAGTAAACTCAACCCTTAACAGAGGGTCAACGATTAAAAGGAGGTAGAATTGGGATAAATCCTGGTTAGGATGTGACTCACTTGAAGAGGATTCGAGTTGTTAAAGATTATGGGTATAGACTGGAATGATAAGTTTCTATTCAGAGTCGCCACCTTCATATGAAAAACTCTCATCCAGTTCTTTATTACTATTATTGGTTGCTTTTACATCACTGGAAAGTTAGGACTTAGAAGACAAGACCTTAACATTGAACTTAGATCCCTGTCAGTACTTGGAAAAACAGTGTTTTGTTTTGTTTTCGGTTTTTTGTTTGGCATAGAAAGTATATAGAGGTATCTTGAGATGCAGAACTGTGATTAGAAACCTACATAGTTACAGGGTGTTTTGTCTACATGATTGATTAATGCCTTTCTCTTTCAATCCTGTCCTACAACCGTTGTCTGTTTTCAGTTCAGTTTACCAGTCATGTATTTATTAAGCATCTGCTGTAGGTTTGACTCTTGTGAGAAGTGTAACAAGAAAGGAGGACAGGTCCTGTCCCTAGGAGTTCACAGACCGGTGGAAGGGTCGTGTGTACATGGACACGATTGGTGTCGGGCCGACTGGAATGTGTGGTACAGGCAGAGACACAAAAACGTGTGGGAGCAGAGAGCAGAGAGAATTTCATTCTGTAGCTAATTGTAAGTTATATCTAGAAGTAATCACGATTCTCACTCTCTCAGCCTGAGTCCCACTTCTTTCCTCTGACTGCGTGTATTTGGCAAGAACAGGAATTCTCAAGTGTACTCAAGCAATTTCACTTTCCCTTGCTTCTTTGTGGCTGCTGCCCTCCTCATCTCTCAGTGAGCGGTGGTATCATTTCACACAGCTTTTTGTTTCTTATACATTTGTTCTCTCGTTTAAAATGTACATTTTGGAATATTAACTCAAAAATTTTTTATTTGAGTGGTAGCTAAAAATATAATTAAAGCTGCTTTTTATATGTTTAGTAAAGGGCCGGCTCCAAATGGTACTTTACCTGAATACTTTCTTTTTTTTTTTAAGGGATCTCATTCAGGGCTTGATGTTTAGAGATGACCTTACCAGTCCAATGAATAGGACAGTCTGTACCTAAAAGTTTTTTGGTAAAAATTGTCTACTTGTAAGTAAAATAGGGAATTTTGAGAAAGCTAGAAATAAGACTGTCAGTAATGCGCAAAGAGAGAAGCAGTCTTTTAATTAGATAAGACCCACCTTGGAGCCTCCAAGAATTAGTTCTCTTCTTTTGAATTTAACTAAGTAGCCTGAAGATTATGGAACCCTGGGCTAAGTTGTTCCCTGTAGTCCATACCACTTAGGAGCCAAGCTGACTAGGTACCAGAATCTTCTGGCTGACTTCAGATCTATGCTTAGTTGGCTGAAATTTCTGTCCAGTGGACGATGTTAGACTGAAGCCTTCAGCACTGGGCAGAGAGGGGGAATCCAGAGGAGTAACTGGCTTAGAGAGCAATGCCTCCATGTTTGAAGCGCTGCTAAGGCAGCAAAAGAAAACGCCACAGTGGAATTCTATCCTTCAACACCTAGAATCCTGAGAGGAAGCCACATATGTCTAGAGATGGGGAACATTCCAGAAAGTCTACCCATGTATCTAGTACTGAAGGGGAGAATGTCCAATTGAATGAGTTGCATGGATTTTGAGGATCCAGTCTGAATGGCTACTGTCGGTGAAGAAGAATGTCATTTCTTTATGAAACAGAGCAGGAGAATTTATATAAGAATATCTTTGCTTTAAAGCTATTTCTTCAAATAAGTTTTTTGACAAATTTTTTTCTTTATTGTCAAAAGCACTTACACATATGTGCTGGTAATAATATTCAACAATGTCCTGTTCTAAAAGGCTTAGCCTAACTATAATCATAGTAATTTTGTAGGTAAGTTGTAATGTGTATTTTTCTGAAAGACCATGGACAGCTTACACTTATCTCCAAATATTGGTGATATAATTGGGGGTGTTTTATTAAATTTCACAGGCAAATAGCTTAGTATTAGTTAATAACATATTTCAGGTGCAAACTTTATTGTAGTTGTCCCAAAGTAGAACTACCAAAGTAAACTGCTATTTAGAGAAGCTACAGTCTCAAAATGCTCATTTGTAACTTTAGGCATAACTAGGAATTTTTACTTTTAAGACCCTAAACTGTTGATTTAGGAGCTCAGTTTGTCTGTAAGCAAAATAACCAACTCTATGTCCAAGTAATGTAAAATGTAAGTAAACAAAATTTTGGATGGGAAGACTCAACACCTAAAGATTTAAATTTTCCCCAGATTAATTCCACTGGAATTTTAAGAGAACTTAACATATTGATTCTAAAATTATACAGAATAGTAAGTAAAAGAATAGCCAAGACATTTTGAAAAATAGTTATCCACTAGACATAAATTTGTAATAAATTTGTAATAATTAAAATGATGGTTTTATTGCAGTAACAGTCCAGAGAACAGAATTAAAACTCTAGATATAACTCTCTGGATATACTGGAACTTAATGCTATTGTAAATATGGCATTGCATATCAGTAGAGAATGATTGATTAGAAATTGGTGTCTTTTATGGAAAAGTAAAGTAATAAGGCTGCTATTATATTTATGAGGAGTTTAACGAATTTGCAGTTTTGATTATGTGGGCTTTTTGCCTTATGTACTGACTAATCAACAAAATATGTGACCCACTCTATGTCTCCTGAGCTGGTACCACAAGTACAGAGAAAAAACAAAAAGAAATGCCATTGACAGAAACCAAAAAACCTGACTAATACAGGCACCCAGTGTAGTTTAACATGTAAATGGAAGTAACATCTAGGGGTCTAAGTAAAACAACAGAACACTTACACGGTGGGTCTGTTTTCTTTTCTTCATTAATTACTTGCAAATTTTATTGAGGAGTTGTTAGTTTAATCTGGTGAAATCTAGAAAATACGGGGCCTGCAGTTTAGTCAGAAGATAGTAGCTTAGTTTGAGGCTAAACTGCAGTGTTTGGCTTCCGTGTTCTGAAGGACAGTGTTTTGAGAATTTCCACCTTCCCTGTTCCTCTGCTGTGTCCTCTTCTGTGTTATGCTCCTGAAACGTCATTCTCCACATATTGTGCTCTCTGCTTTCCTCCACTAGGAGCGGCCTGCCTCAGACTCTTGGCAGAAACTCGAGAAGTCTCGAGAGTACAAGAACAGTAATCAGCTCCGGGAGTACCAGCTGGAGGGAATGAACTGGCTTCTTTTTAACTGGTATAACAGGTGAGGGGCCAGAACCAGTCCTGTCTCCATGGGTGAAAACAAGTGTTTGTGTGGAGAGGTAGATTGTGGCCCTGGCCCGCTTAGAGCAACAGCAGCAGTGATCAGCAAGGGCCACATGGTGATCTTTGCGCATTAGGCATACCTAAGACTTCATTCTTTTTCTTTTTTAATTAAGGAATCACTGATATGCAATCTTATGAAGGTTTCACATGAGCAACATCATGGTCACAACATTCACCCTTATTATCAAGTCCCCCCCACACGCCATTGCAGTCACCGTCCATCAGCGTAATAAGATGCCACAGAGTCACTACTTGCTAAGACTTCATTCTTAACATCAGGTGTTTCTCCAACCAAAAGGAATGATGTTTGACATCATTGACTTTGCCTTTTTTTTTTCTTTTTTGTCCAAAGGTTAGGTTCAACCAAGATGAAAAAAAACTAAAAGGATCCCTAAAAGCTGTTTCCTATCTATAAGTCTTCAGAAAAAAAAGGGGGAGCTCAAAAGGGGATTGAATCTGCTACCTAGCCCAGCTCCGCTATTTGTTGTCAGTTGTGGATGTTCTGGACTAGTACTGTACTGCTCGGTTTTGGACTCCGTGCCTTAGTTCCTATCAGAGTCTAGACGAAAGAGATGAAATCTGACCAAGATGGGTTGAGATTGAGAATGTATCCCCCTAATGTGGGTTTTAAAGGCAGCATGTAGTCATGGAAAGCACACCTGGGTTCTGCGGTGGTCTCTGCCATGGTCACGTCCCAGCCCAGAGCACAGCTCACTCGCCCTTTTCAGATCTTGGGTTGTCCGTCTGTGTAGGAAGGGACTGTCCCCTACCCCCAAGTGTCACAAGTTCTGTGCTGTCTGTGATTCTGGATCACCCAAAGAAACCAATGTTTTTATTTTTTACTGCAATAGGGAATTATTATGTGCATTAAAGTTTGACCTTTGGTAACACAAATGATAGAATCACTTAACTTACCTTTTTATTTTTGCCTTGGCATGAAGTTTGTCAGGTATAGAGATTGGCTTAGGTTTGAGGCATATTTTTTTTCATTGTCTTACTATTATTTTAATTTTCAGTATTTTTAGTTTGTGCCTAAACAAGACTATTTCATGTATTTTCTCACAAGTTGCTGTAGTTCCTGGAAGTAGTTTGGAAGTAGGCAGTGTGTGGCTAATAATAATGGCAACTCACCGCAGGTGCCTCTCTGGAAAATGTAATAGGTGATCACTGACGGCCTTGTGGGTCAGAGTTGCTTCTGAAGCTTCTTTTTGGTTGTGACCAGCCTCTGCCTCTTTCCTGTATTGATGAGGGTTATGTCTTTCTTACTCACCGCAGAAAAAACTGTATTCTGGCTGATGAGATGGGCCTGGGGAAAACCATCCAGTCCATCACATTCCTTTCAGAAATCTTCCTCAGGGGACTCCACGGCCCTTTCCTCATCATCGCCCCGCTGTCCACCATCACTAACTGGGAGCGGGAGTTCCGGACTTGGACAGAGATGAACGCCATTGTCTACCACGGCAGCCAGATCAGCAGGCAGATGATCCAGCAGTATGAAATGGTGTACAGAGATGCACAGGTGGGCCTTACGTGAGTCACAAGGGCCCAGCGACAGTCTCGTGTTATACTTTACAACAGCCCTGCTGTCATTTGTCTTCAGAAGTTCTAATGCCCTGCATCTTGGGTGTTGATTTACTTGCTAGAGTTTTATGTTTATTGAAGCAGATTTCTTTCTCTTCCCGAATAGTTTTAATTTATGATAAACACAGTGGTAGGGTATGCTTTCTGCTCTAGATATGCCAGAGACTCCTTTTAGGACACTGAAAGCCTGTCTTCTTGATTGGCTCTTGAAGTTGCTTTTACCTGCACATTTTATCTGAATTGTTATGTGCTCAGTGAAGAAAGTGAGGAGAATTAGTATACAGAGGATGGCTTTCCAGCCAGGGAGTTGGGAGAGGACGTTTACAGATTTGACAGGGAAAAATAAAGGATTCAAATTTTTTAAAACAACAATTTTTTTTTTAAGTTTTTTTTTTTTTTTTAAGTATAATCACTTTGTTTTGTATGCTTATATGCTTGTCCTGGGTACTGAATTTTATAATTAAGCAATACTCTCCCCAGGGGTTTCCTAGACAGCAGGAGATACAAGGAAGAAATTTAAGATAGGCTCTAACATCACACAGCTCTGCTCTCTTTAAATGTGGTGGCAGCACTAAAATGGCACCAAGACAAAGGTGTGTCCTTCCTGGTACCACTTGTCCCAGGTGAATCAGGATCATTACTTTGAGTCTGTGCTGGAATCCAAGTTATAATGTGAAGCTAATTAAATCTGAAAAGTAGCAAAGAAGGTTTCCTTGGGTATTCAATCTGTGCATGGTTTAGAGCAACTTCTGGCTAGGAATGTGTAAATCAACCTTCATCTGCTTTCTTGAAAAGCTTCCTTGCCCTGCCTTCCGTAGAGCTCATCTGTCTCACCCTTCTGAGAACTTGTGTTCTCTTGCTTCTGTTTCGTTGATGTAATGTGGGCTGGCTCTTGTCTAGATAGTTGGTTCATTGTTACATTCTCTCTTTTCTCAAATAAGGGAAAACAGTGCTTACTGGCTTCTCACACGGGCGCCAGCATTTATGGCGCTGCTTCCTCTGACCCAGCTGGTAACCCCTCCAGACTCAGTAGCTGTGGCCTAAAGCTTTGTGTTGGGTTGTGTCATCCTCAGGGAAATCCCCTTTCAGGAGTCTTCAAGTTCCACGTGGTCATCACCACATTTGAGATGATCCTGGCAGACTGCCCAGAGCTGAAGAAGATTCACTGGAGCTGTGTGATCATCGATGAAGCCCACAGATTGAAGAATAGGAACTGCAAACTTCTGGAGGGACTAAAGCTCATGGTCCTGGTGAGAGTTAAGTTAGCCAGCTCCTCACGTAAACACAGGTTCCTTCCATTCACTACGAGGAGGCATTTTTTAGCCATTCTGGATGTCACTCACTTCTGCTCAGTCTGTTTACTCAAGGTCTTCTTTTTGCCCTCCATAGCTGGGATAGTGTAGGAACCAAATGTTTTTGTTAAGAACTGGGTAAACAATTTGACCTTTGCCCCAGATTGATTCCCAAAGTGGGTACCCAGGGGAATAAATACCATGAAATCTGTGACCTGGAAACGTAAGGTATTTTGGGCTTGTTTCCAGGCCCTTGAATGATCTGGAACCAAAGATGATAGCCTTTTAACATTACCGCCTTGGCACAATGCCCAGAATGTGGTGGATCGGCACTCAATAATATTGATTGAATGAATGAATGAATGGTTGCTTTGATTAGCATGAAATCGCTGCTGGAATCAGTGATGTGAAAGGAAAGCTTATCAGTCTGTTCACTGCACTCATGAAATGTTCGCACCTTATCTTTTCACAAAAGCAAAACAGAATCGCCCCATATTGAGCACAGAATGCCCTGACTTAATTTTCCCACTCAGACATGTTTGGTGGCTCAAACCCTATTCCTTATGTGCTGTTAATTTGTGCAGGAACACAAAGTACTTCTCACAGGCACGCCCTTGCAGAACTCTGTGGAGGAGCTCTTCAGTTTGCTGAATTTCCTGGAGCCATCACAGTTTCCTTCAGAGACTGCTTTCTTAGAGGAATTTGGAGATCTGAAAACAGAGGAACAGGTAAACGGGGGCCTGATGGATTGAGGAGACAATGTGATGGTCGCCTTCACTGGCAAGGGAAGAACAAGTCACTGTGGGGACAGGAGTCAGCAAGTTCTCAGATTCCTGGTGAAATGAAACTAATTGGTTTATGTTGAGAAGGGTAAGCTGATTATTAGTCCTTCTTGCTCCACAAGAAAAATGAATCAACATCCAAAATACCTTATGCTAGCATATCAGGCTCTTGCCCTCACTGACCTCACTGTAAGTTCAGTGGTTTTGCTCATAGCTCTGGCCTCAGGAGCATGGTGCTTTCTTCTGCTTCCCTCATCCTTCCTCTTTCCTCCTGCATAATCGGCAGCATGTTCCCAGGCTCATCTTCTTGAGTGAAACAGAATAGACCAGTAGTATATAGTTTGGAGAAGAAGGTAGTCATACCTAGTAAGTCTAGTTTTGTTCAAATCAACTAAATTTCTTCAGTTTTCAAAAACCTAGTCCTAAGTATAGTCTGTTGGACTCAAAGCTGATTCAAAACAACCAATATTAATAAATATCTGTCTGCTGTGGGTAGAAATCTCTGCAATGGATGACAAAAATATGCCAAATATATTTAAATGCCTTAAGAGGAACAGGTACAGAATTTGGGAATTTAAAGGAGGGAAAGGACACATCTCTTTGGGAATCAGGAAAGAGTACCATTTGAAAATGGACTTTGAAGAGTACGTATTGTTTCAACAGCACAGGGGGAATATCCCCAGCATAATAAGCCCTTGAATTTATTCAGCTGTAGGGAGCCATCTGGCTGAACTGGAAACAGAATATATGAATTGTAGAGTATGAGGCCAAAGCAGTTTAGGGTTATATTGTGGGAAGACCTTGAAAGAGAGGTTAAAGAATTTGGTAGGTGTTAGAGAAGCAGTGCAAGGCTTTGATTGCAGGAATGACATGATTAGTTCTGCTAAATTAATCTAGCAATGGTGGGAGAGTGGATCGGGGTTGAGAATGTGGGGACTGAGGAGGTTTGGGAATTTCACTAGCAGATGTCAAGAGTACACTCTGTGGTTCCAATCTGTTTCTACTTCGGCAGCAAGTCAAACTGAGAGCAATGAATACTCAAACTTAATTCCACTTCTCTGCATTTGTAGTATCTACTGACCGTGCAAAACCCAGCTCCAACACTCTCTCCATTTTTGGACCATTTAGAAATGCATCCTCTTCTCCCATTGCACTTATTTTGTGGTATGCATTTTTTCTTCTTCCTAGAGAATGACCTCCTTGAGGACAAGGCCCACATCTTCTCCAAACTTGTGTTTGTTGTATTGACCAGCACAGTGTCTGGCATGTAGTATACTCTAAATGATTCAAGGTATGAACCAAGTGAAGGGCAAAAGCTGAACCCAGCATGTGGCCGATTGGCATTTGTCCCTGTCTTTAGCAATGACCTAGCTGTGTCTTTTCTTTTTGGACTCTTATATAGTAATTCCTTATCCATTTGGGGGATTAGATTCCTAAGTGCCATGGTTGGTAAAACCAAAATTTAAGATTGGGGTTAATTGGTGGCATCAAATGTCCAAATGTCTACATTTTAAAACACAGGAAATAAGAATTCTAGAAAGTATCTGTTTCTAAAGTAGATTGTTTAAAACCTGCTCCAGTAATAACTCTCCTAAATCCACTTCCGGTTAACCACTTTATTTCTTCAGGAAGCACTGCCTCAGCACATAGCTTACTCATGCAGAATCTACCCCTTTAAAAATTTTTTCAAACAGCCCTTTGTGACTTGAAATTTGGTCTTTTGCTCTTGATTTTCCTTTAATTTTATGTTCTCACCAGGATTAATCTTAGTGAGACCATGTATTAGCTCAGTGTTAACTCAGGTGCCTTGACTTTGAGTCCCTTTTCTGTTTCTGTCTCCTTGGGAGAGGGAGCAAGTCACCTTTCTGTGCAGTTGAGTGAGCAGAGATCTGTTATCCAGGCTTGGGTTGTTAGGAGACAAGCAGAAAAATCATTGCAAAGAATACTATTAGGCTTAAAGTGGCCCTGATGTGACAGTGTGCCTGATGGAATGGGAGCTGTCAGTACAGCGTTAACTCTACACACTGCCACCCCCAAACCTGTTGGCAGCTGTTGTTATGCAGAAGGTATGGGAAGAATCCATTTCCAGGTTACCTTTACTTCTTTTTTTTTTAATTGAGATAAAATGACATAATATTTTATTAGTTTGAGGTATACAGCATAATGATTTGATATATGTATATATTATGAAATGATCACTGTAAGTTTAGCTAGCATCCATCACCACACATAGTTAAAAGTTTTCTTTTTCTTGTGGTGGGAACTTTTAAGATCTTAGTCTCTTAGCAACTTTCAAATATATACTAGAATATCAGTAACTATACTCAGCATGCTATGCATTACATACCTAGGACTTATTTTTTATAACTAGAAGTTTGTACCTTTGATCACCTCACTCATTTTGCCCATCCCTGGATTGCCTCTACTTCTGCCTTTCTTCTTGCAGCATCTTAGTCTTCCCTTGGTAGTATATCACTGTACCTCCTAACATGGCTTAAAAGATGCCTCAGATAATTGCTGCACAAGTGTACCTGTTGGGGGAAGGGAGCGGGGGGTTATTCTCCATCCTAGAGAAAATACTGTTTTTTTGTATCTTTCTCCCTTTATATCTCGTAAGGTTGCCACCAAGGTTCTCAGTAATTACTTGCAAATTAAAACCAGATCCCTTTTTTCCTTTTAGTCCTGTTATAAACTCCCCATGTTCAGGGATCTGTCATGATCTTCCATTTAGTGCCACAGGACTATGATTAGATGCTCCGCAGATTATAGTGAAGGTTGGAACACCCCAGTAATCATTCATCGGGATTGGGCCAGGTGAACAGGTCTCTTTTCTCTGGACAGGTAAAGAAACTGCAGTCTATCCTAAAACCAATGATGCTTCGGCGGCTGAAAGATGATGTGGAGAAAAACCTTGCTCCCAAACAAGAGACGATCATTGAAGTAGAGTTGACCAATATCCAGAAAAAGTACTACCGTGCCATCTTAGAGAAGAACTTTTCCTTCTTGACCAAGGGCGCAAACCAGCACAACATGCCGAATCTCATCAACACTATGATGGAGCTGAGAAAGTGCTGTAACCATCCTTACCTGATCAACGGTGAGTGGGGAAGCAGGGAGCCCTGGGACCTGCTGCTAGCCTCTGCCAGAGCTGGTGATAACCCATGGTCTTCTGTATTGAGTTCTCATAGTGCCAGAGTGTGTGAATTCTCCCCTTTTCACAGGTTAGTATTAAACTGGGGTTCAGAGAGGTTGATAGGTCTGTCTGCCTTAAGCAGTCTAGCAGTGAGTCACAGAGCCACAGCTTGAACCTCCCGTATGTCAGAAGATGGAATATCACTCATACGTCTGCTCGCCTCTATTTACTTGTGGCCTAGCCCACACTTTCCACTTTGGGATGGAGAACTGTGTAACTTGGTTGAGTAGGTCATCATGCTGTAATGAGATTAAGACTCTGGGCAGATGAATTAACAGTTAACTACTAAGTAGAGATGTTGAAGCGTTCTTTTTTTCACAATAAAACTTACTGATAAATGTTTTAATCAACATGTGGTTTGGTTTTGCTTAAAGCTAGTATTTGTGGGATCTTTTGTCAACTCACCATGAAGGTTTCTTAACCTGCATGAGTCGGCTGAGGACTTGTTATCTGCAGTCCCTTCTGTACTTGGTGCGATGCCCTGGGAAAGCAAGGCACCTGTGTTCTCTGCCAGGTGGTCCTGCTGCCACTGAAGCCCTCTGCTGAGGGCACAGACCAGGGATGCACATACAGCATTGCCTCCCTGGACTGTTGGACCAAGATCTAATAGTTGACCTCATTATTTTTAGAATCTGTAAAACAGATAATAGGTTTTACCCTTACAGTTTGTTCAAGGAATAGTTTTGTTCCATTCCTTTCCAGGGGCAGAGGAGAAAATTCTGGAGGATTTTCGAAAAACTCACAGCCCTGATGCCCCTGACTTTCAGCTGCAGGCCATGATTCAGGCAGCAGGGAAGCTGGTGCTGATTGATAAACTGCTCCCTAAGCTGATTGCAGGTGGCCACAAAGTACTCATCTTCTCCCAGATGGTGCGCTGTCTGGATATCCTGGAAGATTACCTCATCCAAAGAAGGTGAGATTTATGTCCAAGTTGTGCCTCAAACACTGCAGGCAGTTCCTTTTCTTTGCTACCTTTTGATCCATTCAGACTTTATGCTTTAATGACAATCAGCCATTCAAAAGTGAAGAAATGGAATCTCCTCTTACAGATTGGCTAAAATAAATTTTAAGACCAGGTATACCCGACCTTATGTAAATTGAGTTCATAGCTTATAATGTGGAGCCCTTGCTTTGCTAAAAAAAAAAGGGTTCTACATGTTTCTTTATTTTCTCTTTAGTTGGAAGAAATTCAAATAGCATTAGAGAAGGTTAAGAAAATAATGTATTTACTTTTTTTTTTTGCTTTTTTCTGCTTAATGATGAGAGAAGTACATCCTGCAAAGTACCACTATTACCAAGTTTCTAAAAGAACATAAGCTGACACTCACAGAAAAAGAATTGAAGCATATTTTATGTCCTTTTTCAGTAAACCCTTTAAGGTTTTATGATTATGCTAGCCATGGCATCCCAGTTATTTTCTTGTTTGTATTTCTGGAATTCCTTGAACCTAAATTCCATTACTTATGTAGGTGAAAAAGCTATGAGGTTATGTGGGTTATCTGAATTTTGTGTGGGCATTGCATTTGTTACATAATAAACTATACATTTCCAGTCACTGGGAAACATCAGTGATCTGATGGTGATTAATGGATTTTTTAAAAATTTACTCTTAATGATAAAAAACTTCTCAAGATGATAGAAACCATTAGCTGAGGCATTGCTAAGTTTAAGGAAATCTTTGTTTTCATTTAGTAAAACTATAGCAAATCTTAGTTGTCTTAAATATTCTTAACCTTGAAGATTCTGTTTGCCCATATAATATGTAATTTATAGAAAGTGTTTAAGGAAATGACAAATTTAACTACAGGATTTGTTGACATTTGATGTTACATAAATAATTCTCTAAAATTGGATCAGGCAAAAGAATTTCTAGAGAACCCTATAGTAGAGATTTTTATGTAAAGAATCCTTGAAACTTGTATTTTTTTTCCTTTGAGGAAATTGTAATGAATAAATCAGAACTAGTAAAACAGTTTCATATCTTACAAATTCACTAGAATAGGAACCCATTGCCAGAACACTTGCTTCTTATATTATCTTAATCTTCAGAATATGTGCAACTACTAGGTTGCAGTTTTTTTAAAGAACTGTCAAAATGAGTAACAGTGTAAGTAACAGACTTTTGCCAAGTTCAGATGTCTTTATTTAGATCTCTTTTATGCTAATTTTACTTAACATTTATTGCTCATTTTATTTCCAAAGTACTTAAGAAATATAGTTTCTCTTAAAAATATGGCCACATATACCACCACCACCTGCTCAGAGCCCCCATACACACTTGGGCATTTATTTTTTCAGTCTTTTTTCTATGTGTATACGTATGTTTAGTTTTGTTCTTTATATGTTTGAATTGGGATCATTCTGTGTTCTACTTTGTAACTCACCTTTTTAATACAGCATGAAATTTTTGCTTTATTCTTCTACAATGTAATTTTGATGATCTGTATGATATTCTGTCTTACGGTTGTTTCCAATTTTTCAGCATTTTAAGGAGCTCTATGAATATCCCTTTACAGTCATTGTGAATGTTTCTAGTTATTTCCTTAGGATAAATTTCAATATACATTTTAAAAAACACTTAATACATATTTCCAAAACACCATCTAGAAAGGTATTTTTATTTACATGCCTTTCAACACTCTGTAAGAATGCTTTTTTCCACCTATATACTGATCAAAACTGTTTCTGCCTCTTAATCTTAGCTAATTCAGTAAACCAAGATTATGGTCTTGTGTTTTAATTAGTTATTTCTGTGATCATTGAGGCTGAAGATTTTTCATATATATTAGCTGTTTATATTTCTTCTTTTGTGAATTGATTATTCATGTTTTTTCTCTGTTTTCTCTTGCTCTTTGCCTTTTTGTTTACTAATTTGTAAGAATTATTTGTTTACTTAACAATATGGTAGAAATACTCCCCCAGTGTTGTTTTTCACTTTTTGTGTATGGGTATGTGTTTTTGTTTATTGGATTCATTTTTTTTAATTTCTTAATTTTATAATGGTCAAATTTTAAACAGCTTTAAATAAACGTAAATGCTATTTTTGCTTAAATTTAAGCTTAAATGCTTAAATTAATATGCTTAAAAAGCTTTCCCTACCTCTCAGCCATGCAATCAGATAAATATTCTAAAATATTTTCTTTTCATTTTTTTTATGGTTTCTTTACCCCAGCTGCATCCAGCAGGGTTCTTCTGGTGTTAATATCATGATGACTTTCCTCCTTTTAATTTAGCTTTTATTTTCATCAGAGTTACATGTGCATATAATTTAAAGGGCCAGATTTTATTCTATTAGACTTATGAAAACTTTAATTATCCTAATTTACATCTTCCACCCCTACCAAGTTTTCCCACCCCTGGAAACAGTTATTTTAAACTCTTCATTCTTTGGTATTTATAGCTAATCTCTAAATGTTAGTAGTTATAATTTCTTGATTTTTTTTTTCAGTTTTAGGTGTTATCTGTTCTCACTATGGAAGATGAGTGTTTATCTTCTTTTACTGTCCCTCGTGATTACTACATATGCAATTTACTATCCTCCCATCTTCCCAATATGCCATGTACTTTTTTTTGTATGGGATCCACCGAACTGGATACTATATAGGTCTTTCTTACCTGAATTAAGTTCCTTTAGTTCTGGGGAATTTTCTTGTGTTTTATCTTTTCTTTTCTTTCTGTTTTATTTTCTTTTTGTGGAACCCCCATTATTCATATGTCCAACCATCTAGACTGATCACCTTATTTTCTTTTTTCTCTTCTCTCCATCTCATTATATTTTGCTATAACTTCTGATAGAGTTCATTTACCTTTATCTTCCAACTTTAACCCCTGGGTTTTTATTTTATAATTATTAATTTTTAATTTCCTAGAACATTTTTTTCTTTTGTAATCGTTCAGTCTTCAGAGTATTCATTCCATTCTTTCACAGGTATGGTAACATGTGCTTTTGTCTTTCTGAGATTATTCATGATAGAAATCTTTTAAAACCTTCCTACAGTATCTTGTTTTATGTAAGTCAAATTTTTTCCTTTCTTTCGTTGATTTCTCTGTCTTTTGAATTCTGGGCTGGCTTTTTTTTTTTTTTTAAGCACTTTGAAGTGATTTTCCACTGTGCTCTGGCCCTGTTGGGGGTTTCTGATGAGAAAGTCTGTAGTCTTTTAAGTTGCTGCTACCCTGTGTGTAATGTGTTATTTTACCCTGACTAATAAGATTTTCTTTTAATTTCTGATTTTCATCGGCTTGACTGTGATGTGTGGAGTTCATCCTGAGCAGAGTTCACTAAGCTGCTTAAATCTGTAAATGTATATCTTTCATCAAATTTGGGAGGCTTTCGGTCACTATTTCTTCCATTTCTTTTTTCCTTTTGATCCATTCTTTTATTTCTTTGTGAGACTCCAGTTATCAGATATGTGTTCCATCTTTTGATATTGTGCCACAGACCCATAGGCTCTGTTGTTTTTTTTTCCCCACACATTTTTTAATCTGTCTTCAACTTCTCTGATTCTTTTCTCTGTCTTTTCCATGATGCTTACTTAATTAAGCCCATCCAATGCTTTGTTTTAGAGATTGTATTTTAGTTCTAAGATTTCCATTTGATTCATAGTGATGTTTCTCTGCTGTGATGTGCAGTATTTTCACTCATTGCTTACATTCTTTTACTTCATTGAGCGTAATTATAATAGCTGTTTAAAGTGTTGTTAATTATAACATTTTAGGTTTGACATCTGTTGATTATCTTTTTCTCTTGAGAATGGGTCATTTTCCTCTTTATATGTTACATAATTTTAGGTTTTTCCCCACACATTGTGAATAATTTGTTGTGGAGATTCAGGATTCTGTTGTATTGCTGTGAAGATGCTGGTGTTTTTGTTTGAAGCATTTAACTAGGTGAGACTCCAAATGCACCTTCTGGCAATGCATCTCATAGGCAGCACTCCAGTCTCTGCAGACTGCTTTTAGCCTTCTTTCTGCATGAGAGTCAGAGGTCAACTGGAGACTTGCATAGAGTTTGTACCCAGAGTTTGGGATTTGCCACTCTGTCTCTCTATTTTCTGAAGATTCCCTCTCACCCTCTGGAGTCCTGGTTGCCCCAGACTCCTTCTCCTGGTGCCTCTGGTCAGAAACACAGCGACTTTTTATCAAACTTGTAGCCGGCCTGTACCTCCTCCGCCATAACTGCAGCTTCCCCTCTGGCCAAAAGCACAAGTTTCTGCTCCTCTCTGAAATCTGCCTGCTCTCCTTAACTCTGGAGCACCTTCAGAGACATTGTTCCATTCACTTAGTTTTTGTTGCTTCATGTTTTGTCCAGATTCTGTGGTGGTGGTTTGCTGGAGGGTTGGGTGTGTTAAGGCCTTGCCCCTCCACACCAGAAGCAGAGCCTTTGTTTCGGGTCAGAGGCTGTCTTCCATGTCTGGTCTGAGCTGTCAGATGTGGCACCATCAAGGTGACTAGATGCTCTGGGTATATGGCAAGACTTGCCTCTGGGCTTCACTTACCATGTGTGGACACTGTCCATATAGCTGGGCCATTTCATTGGGTAACCTCCAGTGTCAGTATTTTTGGCTGTTTCTCTTCCTCTCTCCTGCCCAGAAGAATGTAGGTTATCTGGGAACCTAGGGTAGGAATGTGATTGTCTGGGAGGTGATTGTTGGGGTAGACTGGAGAGCTGTAGGGAGGTCTCAGTATCCCTGCCTCTCTTCCTTTTTTTAGTGTAGCACCTCTGTCTTTAACTGATACCTCTCTAAAGGGGTAGAGAGGGATACGGATCTGCTGGGATGTGGGTGATCTGTTAACTAACTGATACTTCAGCATATTCAACCAGCTGCCCTGTTTTTAATTTCTTTATATGCCCATTTTCAGAGATACCTGGTTCCAATAGTGCCTGAATCCTTTGGATATTCTGCATTATTGGTGAGGCTATTCTCATCTAGAATTCTGCATTCTTCAAATCAAATACCACTTGGCCTGTTTTCCAGCTTCCAGGATTTTGTAATGACTTCTCCTTTTCTGTTTGTGGGTTTATTTGGGGGAGAACATTATTAAGCATTTTTTAAAAATCCTTTCACTATCATTTTACTAGAGGTTAGGGAAGATAAAGGAATTAAATCTGCATGTAAATTCATCATTTTTAACTGGATTTCATTGATTTTTTTTAACATTTTAGTCTTCAGTTCTGTAATTTAGGTAAATGGCACATAATGGGATCCAATTTATTTCCAAATATATCTAATTTACTATTTATTAAATAGCCCATCTTTTCCCTCATGCATATGAAACATTTTCGATAAAATGTTCTAAGATATATATGCCAGGGGTGTGTCTAACCTTGCTTATTCTTCTAATGAATATTTCTTTTCCTTCGCTTATATATTGTTGCAGATGAACTTCATAATTTTCTTTCTTAATCTGTCCCTGACTACAAAAAAATGATATATGTGTGAATTATACACATATACTTTCCCATTTCTGTATTTATCTGCATATACATACATCTGTCAGAATTTTGATTGGCACATTTAGTAGGATAGGATTGACATCTCTGCTAAATTGAAGAACCTAATATTCACTGCCCTTACTCAGGTCTTTTATATTACACCATTGGTCCCAACAAATATTTGTAAAGTGCCTGCCTTGTGCCAGAACCTCTGTAAGTGCGAGGGACGCGGTGAACACACAATAGACTTCTAGGGTCCTGCATATTGCATATTGAATTTAATCCTAAGTATTTTATATGTTCATGGCTATTGAGAATAGGATTTTTTTTCACCCTCTATGTTTTCCAGCTGGTTATTGCTGGGAGACAAGACAAGTTGTTCATTTGCCTTTAGGCCATCTGAAGTCAGCATTTCCTGTTGTGCCAAAAACGTGTCACTCCACCCCTCCCTCTTCCCAAACAAAGCACTCATTTTTCCAGAGTGCCACCTGCTTGTCGTTGATATTTGACAGTGACTCAGAATTACAGTTTGATGAGCCACATCAACTCCTAGGGATTCTGTTTAAAATATAGTTGATGCAGAGGGTTAATTGCTGCAAATGATGTTTGGTGTGGAAAATTTTATGATGCCTGATTTCTTCATTCAGGCTTACTAGCCCTCAAGATTTTCTTTGTTCTTGAGCCTCATTGCCTCTCCAGCTGTCAATTTGGTTTTGTTCCTGTTTAATTTCATGCCATACTCTCATACAGGGGTGAGGGCATAGCCAGAGGGTCCCGCTCAGAAGCAAGGGAGGATGAGGAGCAGTTTAAAAGAGCTGAAATAATTGGATAGATTTTTGTTTTAGTTTTGCATTCTGTGAGAGCACTCCCTCAAAACTGAACAAGTGATGGAAATGAGAATTAATGTTCTGGTCATCCTGCACAATTTCTCAGACTGTTGTTAACACCATTACTGGCAAAACACTGATTTTATGGGAATTTTTTCCCTAGGTGATGGCCAAGCAGTATCATCACTTTTTATTGATTTCTTCTCCTCCTTAAGGCTATGTAATTCCCTGCCTTGCTTAGAGGCATGGGCACATGGATCCTTTCTGATGGCTCCGGGTGTCTTACAAAGAACATTAATTCCTCTGTGCCTGCAGCACTAGTTGTTCACATGTGTGACGGTGGGGGCAGTAGCAGCTATTGTTTAGCTAAATCTCAATCTCAACCCTGTCTTCTGACTTCAAATCCTTTGCTTCTTTCACTGTGTCACATATATGGCCAAACTTCTATAAGTAGCCCAGTACATATCCTCAGTGCACTGGTTTATCAAAGTGATTTTCATAACTGTAGTTTCTTCTTTGACCTTCTACTAGAGTTACAGGTTTCTTAAATTTACCAGTGTCTCTTATTTAAGTTTCCAAGGAAATCTTTCTGTCCTACTGCATTGAAATGTAGGGTGCAATATGAAGGCTTACTGGTTAAGAATGTATTCTTACTGGTTAAGAATGTAGACTTTGAGTCAAATGGATCTGAGTTCAACCCACTTAACTGCTAGGTGACTGAACAGGTTATTTTGTGTAGTGGAGCTTTTTTGTTCTTGTTTTTGATGTTTCCTTAGGTGTAAAATATGGGTGATAATAATAAACTACCCCATAGAGTGATTGTGAGAAGTAAATGTGATGATGCATATAACGCATGTATCACAGCACCTGTCACAGAACTTGACACCTAGGGACTTGCTGCTAATATTTTTGCCATTACTGTTATGAATGACAGTCACATCTAATTGCTTTATGGTTTTAGAGCACTCAGACATACACCCCTTAGCTTTTATCTCATGACTCAAGATCTTCTTAGGCTGCCTTTATGACAGTCCTGTCACCACCATTGATTTTATTTGCTACTCTAGTTCCTTATATTATTCTTAACTTTATTATATTAAAAAAGAAGGAAGGAAAAACTTAGACCTTTAGTGCCAGGTATAGATGCGCTGTAGCTTTGTAAAAGGAAGGCACTATTTTGGGGCATGGTTCTTTGCTTGTATATGTCCCTATAAGTCTAAGTTGGTCTGATTTTTCTACATTTATTTCCTTGGGTGGTTTCTTTACGTGGCATTTCCTTCCCTTGAGGAAGTCAGGATTGTATTGCCAGATCTAGTTTTCTAGAGCCATCCCCACACAGAGCTGTCTACCCCTAGACTGTCCTTAGTTTCTTACTGATTGTTTATCTGAATTTCTAGGGCTCTGATTTCTCAAATTCTGGACTGCAGGTAATATTTTTTATCAGGATTCATTTTCTTGGCTGTTGCGATGTCTTAAGGATGACGTGGTCCTTAAAAACAAGCCTCTTAGCAGCTGTCCACGTTGCTACTAAGTTTTAGTTCTGTGTTAGTGACATTGATTTTCATCAGAGAAGTACCTTCTGGGTTTTCTAAGTTCAGGGACAGATAGCAATGTGTTCCCACAGCAGTTTTGTTTCTTACTCTCTTTCCTTTTCATGTTCATGGAGCCGTCTCCTCTGTCCTGTTCTCCACCCTTGTTTCTTAACTTGCCACATAGGTGTATGCCTTCTTAATGGTGTGCAGCTATACTTGCACACTTTCTTTTCCTCTGAAAAGTCTTCGGTTTTTGTCTCTCCCCAGACATAGCTCAAAGACTTCCTCTGATTTTTCTACTTGGCGGTGTACTGCCCAGAAGACATTGGTCCCAGCTATGAACTTCAAGTTCTGCTGTGTACCTCTAAAGCTCTGAGGAACCTTTAGGCTAGAAAGTGACCAGCCCAGACATAAAAGGACTGCCTGTCAGTATAGTCTTCTTACTACCGTTTTCACTTTACCCGAAAGCAGCTGGAAACTGATTTGAACTCTGATTCCTTGTTGTGAGCAGTACTTCGATAGTGCTTCAACTTTGAGCCTTTTATTTGCTCTTCCTGCTCTTATAATTAGATTCAGTGCAAGTCAAAACTGGGAAATACTGGAGAGTGAGTTGTTTGGGCAGTGGGGATGATATTTTATGTTTACATTTCCTCTAGTTGCCCTTAGTTTGTGGCTGGCTTTTTTTGTTTTGGTTTGGTTTTTGTTTGTTTGGGGTTGGAGGGCTACATTTTGCAGTGCAGTTCTAGGTGTCTGCCCTGCTGCATATGTGGGGTGGAGGGGTGTTCCTTCTAGACTGCTGGCATTTGGTCCAAATTTAGAAGTGAGGGATTTAAGGCCTTCGGTCAAGAGCTTCCTGCGCTATTTGCTGTTCTCCACTAAAGTCATGATTAACGCCTGGGCTTTCGTTCATTTGGGTCCCCCCAGATACACCTATGAGCGAATTGATGGGCGAGTACGGGGAAACCTGCGCCAGGCAGCCATCGACCGGTTCTGTAAGCCAGACTCAGACCGCTTTGTCTTTCTTCTGTGCACCAGAGCGGGAGGCCTGGGGATCAATCTCACAGCTGCCGATACCTGCATCATATTTGATTCAGACTGGAACCCACAAAATGACTTGCAGGTAACCATTAGGATGATTGCTGTTTGCCTTAGCTGCCCCTGAATCCAGGAACATCATGACAGGGCCTGCCTAGCTTGGCTGTGGAGTGTCTGCCACGCTTCATGTTATGGTATCAGCCGAATGGCAGGCTTAGGGCCCAGGGCAGGGGGTAAAACCAAATGAAGAGTAAATGTCAACTCTTCCCACTAATCAGAGAGTGGTTCTTTCTTTTTGCTTTAAACCAAATGGTATTTCACAGTAGTAACCTCTAAATACAGAATAGAGCTACTATTTGTCATTATCATCAGACATAAAGAAAGATACTAAGCTTGACGAATTCGCTAATTCTTGGAACATAAATGATTCTGGCATTTTCATGGGTTTGTTGGTTAGATGGGCACATGTCATATATAGTCAATGGCATGGATGACCCAGAGGGGTGGGGAAGTTCCATGGTGTGGCCGGAGTGACAGAAGCACACTTCCTAGTTCATTTTCTCTCTGCTTAATGCAGCAGGTGGGCTCTATGTGCCCATGTAGGTGGTTTTGTGGATTATATTTTCTCATTTTAAACAAACTAAATAATGGATGAAATAATTTTTATTGCAAAGATTGAAGATACATTTTTAAAAATAAGTATAAACAACAAGAAAATGGCAGAGCTAATATTTCTCCTGGGTCAGAATTCTTTATCAGTGCTGTTTCTGAATGAAAACAGTGGCATTCTAGCCAGATTGGACAATAAATCAGCCCAAAAAGATTCTGACTTGTCAAGAAGACTATATTTACATCCATTATCATTAAGGATGAACTTCATCCTAAATGTATATTTATTGTGTCTTGGGATATTTGCTAATACTAAGAGTGTAAGTGTGTAGTGGGAGGTTTGAAGCTTTTCTCACGATACAGGTGATTGATGAAAGAAGTTTGAAGGCTGCTATTTCACAAAACAGGAAAGGTACCCTAGGGGATCCTACAGGGATGGGATACAGAGAAGAGTAGCTAAACTGATGAGTATCTGGACTTCCCTACCCACCACTTCACATAGTCATTCTGCTTTGCCTTTTCATTTAAGGAGTTTCCAAATAAAATTTATCTGGGAAAAGCAGTCTACTGGTTGAAAAAGCAGTGCTTTATATTGGTGGTGATTGGCTAAAACTCAGGGGAAAAAAATCATTGTAAAACAAATTGTGTGGCACTATGTTCAACATCCACCTTCAGAGCAAATCAGTGGATGTGACCAGCTCACCAGCCGGCCTTTCTATGGGTAAAAGGATATTTGGATCAAAGATGAGTTGCCAGGTAAAGTGAATAACCAATTTTTAAAGGAGCAAAATACTCAACACTAATATAAACAAAAACTAATACTTCATCAGATAACTAGCAAGAACCTAATGAGGACAGTGGTATAGATCAGGGTGGGAATTATTGCCATGGGCTAATGGGTTTTAAGTAGTTTTATTGGAATGCAGCCACACCCATTTGTGTGCATATTATTTAGGCTTGCGTTCATATTACAGTGGCAGAGCTGAGTATCGCAACAGAGACCTCGGGCCAGAATGTCTAAAATATTTACTATTACAGAAGTTTCCCAGTCCTGATACAGATGATTTCCCTATCAGCTGTTTCAGTTTGTGTTCCTTTGCAGGGCTCACCTGTCTGTGAGGCTTGATAACATAGCAGTAGGAAACCAAAGTGGGTGTCCATTTTGAGGCCATGTTAGCTGGGCATGACTGAAGGAATTTCCAGGAGGGAGATTGGAAGCATGGGCATGGCATTTGGAGACAGATCCTGGCGTAGGCAAAGATTTGGGAATCACGGTTCTTCATCTAGGTGAAGTCTAGCCATCACCAGTTAAATAGGTGTAATGCTAAGGAATGGAAGAAGCGGGAATGAGAGTGTTCAAGCCTGAGGGAGATGGTGAAGTCACCAGAGGTGATTGGTGTTTATGTGCAGCAGCCAGGGGGTGTGGGTGGGGCTGTCCGGAGTTCGGGTCAAGCTTTGAAATAGCTGTTTATAATGTCCCCTGCTGGGGAACTGGCGAGAGATGAATAAAGGAATAGCAGTGAAGTCCAAGCTGAAATTGGATAGTGTGAGATTTTTAGTATGCTGAGTCCGTTTCTGAACTTCTCTAACGCTCAACCCAAATGAAGAAACACAGCATTATGGGAGCCACAGGGCAGAAACTTGTACCAAGAATGTAGCAGAAGGTAAACAAGTGACGGCATCAGTGATAATGGCAGCCCCGGGTCCAAGTTAGAGTCAGAAGTTCCCAACTTGTAGTCTTCCAGGCTGGCTACTGCTTCTCTTATTCTGTCTACTGGTTTCTGCTTTTTTGGTTTTTATTTAAAGTTTTATACCATAGAGGGAACTGTCCTTTATTTTGGAAATGTCTGACCAGATTGAGTAGAAGTGAAAGCATTGGGAAGAATAGTACAATCACAGGGCAGGGGATGAGATCAGTGCTTGCTGGGGAGTGGTATTGGTGGGCTGTAAAGAAGACATGGTAGAGAAAGGAAAGCCTAAGTTCTGAGTCCCCCCAGAGATGAGCAAGGCTCTGCTTGGTTGGCATGGGGAGCAGAGCACAAGGGCCGGAGGCTGCCGCAGAATGATGCGCTCACCACACACCTCTCTCTGGCATTGCCCTTGAACCCACGTGCTGTCCGTAAGATGTAGAAGAGTGAGTCTGGGTCTTTGAGTCCATCATGTGGTGACAGGACTGCTCTGAATCAGCTGTGGAATTGGTGAAATGCATTCCTATGGAGTAAAAGACCTAACTAGACTGTTCTCTGGTGCTGACATTGCTAGTTAGGTCATGTTGACTTACACGCAGTCATCCACAGGCATGCACATACTTTAATAGTTTTTATAAGTGAGTGGAAGCTTTTAGTCATCTGTAGTTCTTGTAAGTTATTGAAGAATCATAATTCCTATTCTGAAAGAAGGTGACTATTTCCTTTGAAAGACAGGCTTGGCCCAGAACATTGATCTGTGAATGGATTGAGGTGCGTACTGCCCCATACAAACATCAAGACCACAGAAAAGAGAATCTCATTAGGAACTTTCCCTCTGCCCTAGAGGACTTTTGGCATCACTCCAGAGGGCCGAGTGCAGATGGTAGAAAGTGTGAGTGTCCCGCCCGGTTGCAAGCAGCCTGGAGAGAGCTGATGGAGCCCGTGGCTATCTGCAGTCAGGCAGCATGGCAAAGCAGTGGCAGGGCCACGGTGGTTTCTGACCGATTCTAGGCTGGCCCCCTCAGAGCCTTGAAAGAAGCCATCCCTCCCCACCCCCCCGCCACCCCCAGGCAGAACAGGAAGCCACGCCTCCCCTCGCAGGCTCCTTGCTGTCCCATTGCTCCATGACACCCCTGACTCCTCTCTGGGGAGCTTTTTGCTCTCTGAGGCAGGAGTTCCTTTGAGTTGAGCAGGGCTCACAGTAATGGTGCTGCAAGGTGCCTGCTCTCCTGTTGATAAGGTCCCCGTAGGGCGGATTCAGATGCGTGTGATCAGGTGTGCTGGCAGAGGGCACAGCCACAGGGCGATGCAGCTGCTGCCTGGCCAGGGCAGTTTGGAAGGGAGGAGGGAGTCCAGCCTGAGGAGCAGAGCCACAATCACTGGAAGTGGGACTCCAGGGGCCTGACACACTTTTCAGGAAAGAGCTGCTGGTCCCCTTTGCCACTTCTCGGCTACCACTGTCTCTTTGTTGACAGGATATGTGCCTGCACCTTGGAGGACTAGGCTGATGGGTTGACTTTTCTTTGTTGGACAGAAGTAAGACTTTGTGAGTGCTCTGTTACGTGGTCTGGTTGTGCGGTGAATATTGGACCCCAGGCTTGTGTCAGGCACTACTTAAAGGGCTGGAACATAGCAGTGAGCTAGACCTATAGTTTGTGCTTTCATCTCTTAAGATTAGGTTAGGGGCGCAGTAAATAAGATTACAGATTGCCAGTCACAGATGGCAATACTTGTTACACAGAAATAACACAGGGTAAAGGGGATAAGGATGATAGAGTTTGTATGCCTTGATTTAGACAGTGGTCTAGGAAGGCTTCTTTAAAAGAAGGTGACATCTCATAGGGAAGGCAGTATAGCACAAAGACAAGTAATAACTCTGTAGCATTTTACTACACTGATAGACAAGTGACTGCAGTGGGGTCGGGGTGGTTCTTGATAATATGCGTGAATGTTGAAACCACAGTGTTGCTTATGGGAAACCTTCATAAGATTGTATATCAATGATACCTTAATTTTTTAAAAAAAGGTGATATCTGAGCAGACACCTGAATGAGGGGAAGGATCTTAAATATGAGATCAGAAGAGAGAATGTTCCAGACCAAGGGAACAAAAAGTGTGACCACTTAGAGTGGGAGTGAGCATAAGTGGCACCCTTGAAACAGGTGGGGTGGGCACTTCTGTACAGCATCAGTCCCAAATACAGTGAGCCAGGTGTCTTTTGCGTACTCTCCTGACTCCGGTCCTTTGCTGCCCAAAGCACCTTATCCCCATGCTATCAGTTCCTCTCTCCTGTCCTTAGCCAGCTCCTGACTAACTCAGTGACGCATTTATTGAGCCCTAGACATCAGGCCAGGTCCTGGGAAACAGAAGTGCTGAGGACTTTGGTTTGTGAATCACACAGTAGAAATAGAACACAGTGGGTAGATGTCTGTGCAGTTTCCCAAAGATGTTTACATCTTAAGAGGGGATGGTACCTCTTCCCAAGGAATAAGTCTGAAGCTGGAAATTTCAGATTCCCAAGTAAGCCTGCAGAGATTGCTGAGAGAGGGCAGCCTCCCACTGCTTCCTAGTTCATACTGCACAGAGAGCCCCTGATTCCTCTTCTGCATGAGTGTGTGGCCTGTGGATGCAGACTTCTAGAGTGCCAGGAGAAATGCGAGATTGCTGGGCTCGAAATTAAATACTTGTGGATACATAATGGGCTGGGAAACTATACCAGCATGCTAAAGGTGGTTGGGTTCAGGTGGGACTATAAGTAATTTTTTTTAAAACCTCTCCGTGCAGATTT